TCGTGAAATCAGGAGCACTGAATTGATGATATCAGATGGTAAGTTTCCCCTTCTCAAACACGATGACTCTTTACCCCTTCCCTAACTTCCATCTCAACATATGTACTCACAGATCCACTATGTAAAAGAGCCTAGCAGAATGCAAGCAGGGCAAGCTGAGAACGCGCACGCGCGTGTACACACACCCACACACACAGGCAAACCTCAAGCGACCTTGAGCAGACTCCATCTTCCCCATTTATAAATAAAGATAATAAAACTTATCTTACGGGCTTCTTCTGAAGATTAAATTAGATAAGTCATGTCAAGCAGCTGGCTCAGAGCAGATTTTCTAATGTTAGTTTCCCTTCTCCCCACTTCTCCCTGGGATGAGCCAATGTGCCTGCTCAGCGTTCTAAACCCTCTGACATGCCAGGCAAGGAAGGAGAATCATCGTATTGCCTCAGTCAGAAGCAACAAGTACCTGGGGAGCAAAACATGACATGAAAAAGAGGGAGCACAAAATAAGTACTGAGCATTCTTAACTACTAATGCGTCTCTGCTAAGTCATTTCCACTGAAAATCATGTGTTAATTCGGCTGAAGCTACACATGAGGAGCTGGAGGGCAGAAGCTAACAAGGTGGCAGAGTTATGCTTTTATGTGGAAATTGGCTAAATAATGCCATGCTCTAGCCAGGAAGTATGTTTCCTCTGCACCCTATTTTAAACTGTTTTGGTGGTTTGCATCAGACCTAAGTAATATCCACACTGCTCTGCAGCAGACAGAGGCTGCTACAGGCCCACACTTCCCTTCTACCAACTCTGCTTCACCGCTTATAAACCAAAACATCAAGCCCTGATGAAAAAAGAAACTTAAAAGCTAAATTTAGATTTCAGCACTTCATTTTTAACGAAAGTCTCCTTTCGACAACCTTCTAGAGAAAATAAAAAGAGAGAGAGAACTCAGTATTTACTGGAAAATTTCTTTGGTGAAACCCTAAAGTTTTGGAATGGTTTAGAATGCCTTACACCAGTTCAAAATGTGTAACTAAAGGGACTGGATGAGAACTTTCCATCATGTTTGTGAGAAATTGAAGCATCTTTTTTCCATATCTCATCAGAATAATAAGAAAAAAACCACCAATTCCATACAATAAAAACAGCCAAACTGCCCACTTATTTCAGAGCCAAAACTATTCCAACTAAAAGGAAGATTTTACCATTCAGAGCAAACTCCCAATAAACAGGGACTGCCTGGTTGTTAAAATGCTTGCCCCGGATTGTACCAGCAGCTCAGCTCAACATTTCCTGGGTGCTAGGTGATGTGTCAGGTCCTTCTGGGGACGCTGGATGTGGAGAAATTAACAAGATACACCCCCTGCCTTTGAGAGGTTTGATTGGCAAGGGAGTTACATAAAGATATAATTTTGGCTATTGTTATGAGATAAGAGAGAGGTCTGTCCCCAGGAGGGCATGTTCAGCTCAACCCCGGGGCATTTAAACAGGTTTCCTTAAGCAGATGACACTTGAGTTAAGTCTGAAAGACAGGGAAAATTATTCGGGTAAGGAGTTCCAGACAGATAGCAGCTTGAACAAAGGCACTAAAAGGCCTAAACTGCTCAGGGAATGTGTATGCAGGATGACAAGGATACAACTGGAAAGTGTGAGCCTTGGTGGGATGTGAAGTCTCAGAATCAAATGGCAACCAGGTCATGGAGGACTTACTGAGGCCTGATTAAGGAGTTAATAATAATAATGAAAGCTGGTATTTACTGAGCACCTACTATGTTGCAGGCACTGTGTTAAGCACTTCAAAGCATTATTTCATTTAATCTTCACCATAACTCCGTAATCCCCATTTTACAAATGGGTTTGGGGGTTAGAGAAGGAAGGGGACTGTGTCCCCTTACACAGCCAGTAAATGGAAGGTGGGGCTGGAACCTAGCAGGCCTCCATTCCAAAGCTCGTATCTTGAAGCCTCTCCTCGAAAGACTGGATGGGCACATTGGGTCCACCACACTGGCTACAGAATGGAGGATTGGGGTGGCCCAAGTGGGGGCCTATAACATGGCCCTAGAAAAGAACAGATCAATGAAAAGAAAGAGGTTCAGAGGGACTGAGAAAAAAAACATTCAACTTGCATCCCTCCAAGTGCATTCAACAACCAAATGGCTTTTGAAAAAGGGGTCTAGAGAATAAACCACCAGTATTCATTAATGCTTTCAAGTACACAGGGTTAAACTATATGTCCTTGTCTTTGCCTTTAACACCCTCCCATACGTTAAACTGTCTTATTCATTCAGGATAGTGTCTCCAGGTCCGAGCCTCCTGCCTGGTACAAGGAGATGCTCTATAAATACACTGAAAAGGACAAATGAGTAATGGCCGCTTTTTACAATGGCACCAATGAGGTGTCATTTTTAATTGGAAAAAGGGGTTAAAAAATAAAGAAAAAATTTTAAAGTTGTGTTGATAACTAAGGATTGGCAAACTAAAATGGAAACCATGTAGCAGTTAAGGTAGCTACACAGACAATAATGAGGACTCATCACCATGGGGTGCTACCTTGAAAAAAGGCAATAAATACAAAATAGGATAAGAATTTTGTATAGACCATAACTGGTGAAAAATAAGATGTTATTAAAGGAAGTGGCCGAGAGGGTAAAAATGTGTTTTCTGAAAAGCAACAGACCAAAGATCAAATTCTGGGCCTAGTGATCTCTAGTCTCCGACCTTGACAAAAATAAGTACATCATTAACATGATTTTAGGTAAGAAGTTTATCTGTATGACACTTTTACCAACACTGAGTCCTCAGCAGAAATCTCTTGTTAGGTATTTGAAAAGTAACGGTCACGTTTTTCAGATCTGAAGAGTTTTCTGACATTTAAGATTTCCCCTAAAGAGTAATTAATTTGGGGCATTTAGGAAGGGTGGATCTACAAAACAAAAAATTTTTTTAAAAAAGGCTTTAAGTACATTTCTTAGTGAAGTTTGTTCTTATACTGAAATCCTTTGCCCGCTTATCAATCTACTGAACAGAAGATGGACTTTTTTAGGCGGCCTAATAGGACACTGTTAGCCATCTCATTTCCTCATATCTTATCACACAGTAAGGTATTTTGAAAAATGTCTTGATGGTTTACCAGTTATTTTAGAAAAATCCTGAAACCGCTTACTTACATGGAAAATTAAAATGGAAATGGAAGTAGGTTTCTCATTTTCATTTTGGCTAACTTCAACCTTCCAGGGTCTTTGAAAATTTAATTTCAAATGAATGCAAATTCCAAAATGATTCCTTAGTTCAAATTTGGAAACTTTAATTCCGTCAAAATATGAAATCTGTGGGTTTTTAAAAACTGTTCAAAAGCCCAAATAAAAAGCCACTAGGCTTTTAAGTTAATTGTTTAGAAATGTGTATATAGATGAAATGAAACTGACTCATGAACTACTGAGTCTGGAATTTGAAAATGCAAAAATCTTATCCTTGTAAACAAAATCTAACTAAATCAGGGTGTGCTGATTTCCTTCTTTCGTAACCTGAAACAAAAGTTTTAATGATTTTTAACATGCTCAGAAAATTAAGGATGCCATTAAAATCTTTATTAGCAACATATAACTCAGTTTTTAAGTGTCTGGGAGTATAATCAGAGACACTTGAACATGCTGGTACTGCAACGTAGGAAAACATCCAAAAATGAGACACTAGGACTTTATTAAACTCAAATCTGGGTTAGGATTTTTTGTTTACAACAGTGCTTCTTCCTCATTCCATTCAAAACTCCCAACTCCATGCCACCTTCAATAAGAAATACCATTTTAAAAAGTTCTCAATCCACTTCAAATACTCTGAAACGTACCATTTAGAACCTGGTGCTTATTTCTTCTAGACAAACCTAAAGGTAAGTCTGCCCCTGGCCCTTGGTAAATAAAGCGAGTGCCTCAGGGTGATGTGGGCTATCAGGGCATCTCCAAGTCACCAATGGGGGAAGAGAGCGACAAGATGTCACAGATGAAGGGGATGTAAGTTATCCAAATCTAACCATTTTACAGATGAGGAAGCTGAGGCCCTCAATGTCCAAGTACTCAGTTCACCCAGACCTCAGCTGCAGATACGCAGTTATGTGGATCACTGCTGCCAAAAAATAGTAACTTTTAAGGTCTCCCGGGTTCGGTACTTTCCATAACAAATAATTAAGAACTCAATTCCTGCATTTTTCACCTCCGAAAACGTCCCCGAGTGGGGAGCTCAGGGACAGTTACGAATTTAACTTTTCTGTTTCCCTCAAAGGACACTTGCAGAGAACCATCACCTCCGGGAAGGTGGGGCTGTCTCGCTCCCGGCAACATCTCCAGCACCCAGCACCTAGCACCTAGTAGGCACCGAGTTAATAATTCCCCGCCTGCCACCTGACAATCCCCGCTCCCTACCCCACCCACGCCCAGCCATCGGTGGAGCCAGATAACTTTCTTTTGGAAATTGCCTGGTTCCTTGAAACTTTCATACTGTGACTCCCGGCCAAGAAGCCGGCCTGAGGGAACGTGCGGCGCCTTCCGGGAGCCAAGGCTGGAATCACTGGCCACTGAAGGGGGTGGCTGGCCGAGACCTGGGTGGGCACGCAGCATCGCCCCGGGCCGCAGCGACCCCAGGTGCGCCAGCTGCTTTGGCGGCCTCGGCGGCCTCCGCTCCGGGCCGCGGCTCCACAGCCTCCTTCAGATGCCCAAGCAACTTCTCAAACTTCCCTTTCCGGGGGTGGGGGCTCGCCTCGAACGCGGCCGGCACAACGCCTTTCCTGCCCGCACAAAGGGGGCCCGACGTGCCCCGCGCCCCTTCCCCTTTAACTTTCCTCCTCTTTTGAAAGAGAAACTCACACCCCGCCGCCTCGGGGAGCCGGACTGCGTGGGTGCCGCCGAGGGAACTTTCCCGTTTCCGCCCGAGCGCCGGGGGAGCGCCGGGGGCCGACTGTCAAGCGCAGCGGGGACCCCCGGCGCCCCGCCAAGCCCGCCTGGGGGCCACTCACCCGACTTCTGAACTTGAGGCGGGATCGTGCTGGCGATGCGCGTCCACAGGACGATGTGCAGCGGCCACAGGCCCCTGAGCAGCCCCCGACCCATGGCAGCCCCCGCCGCTCGTCATAGACCGAGCCCCGAGCGCAGCGGACGGCGCCTCCCGGAGCCCCGGCTGCGCCTCCGCGCCGCGCCCTCTCGGGACCCCGCGCCGGCCGGCCGGGCAGATGCGCGGGCCAGATGTGGCTCCGCTCGCCAGCCGGGAGGGGGCCTAGAGGCCGGCGGGGCGCGGGGAGGCCCCCGGCGGCCGAGGGGAGCTGCGCAGGAGGCCGGCTCCTGCCCCTGGCGAGCGCGCGCGCGGGGGTGTCTTCGGTCGGTGCGCGCGAGTGACTCACTCAACTTCACCCGGGCGCCGCGGGGGAAACAGGAAACTCCTCGCCAACAGCTGGGCAGGACCTTTCGCCGCCCGAGAGCCTTCTCCCTCCACTCGGCTTCCAGCCCTCCTCTCTCTCCTGACTGCCAATCATGTCCCCGAGACCGGCCCCTCCGAGGGCTTTGGCAAACTTTCAGCTGCCCCCACCGCCCTCAGGAGTTCCTGGCTCCAAGTATTTACCCCGGCGTGACTGAGGGCACGCGTTTCAGAAGGGAGCTGAACACACACACAGTGTATACGCTTCCCAGAGCACCCCCACGGAGCATCTTCCGCCTCCCATAACCTTCTTTGCATTGTTCCCAGGTGCTCCAGAATTGTATTTTCCAACTCCCAAGTGCCTGAGCCCACGGGGGGGGGGGGCGGGGGGGAATGCTGAAAGCGGAGCTGTGAGCACATTTTTGTTTCAAATCGAATAGTAAGTAGTGCCTCACTCAACTTCGATTTCGGTTACATAGACACACACTGCCACATTGCAAAATGTTTTGCTAACTGAAGGTCCAAGTCCGGAAGTTTTTTTTTCCCCAAACTGTACTGTGCGTATGGACCACCTGAGTATCTTGTGAAAATGCGGGTTCTGCTCCAGGACGTCCAAGCTGCGGCATTTGTGATGAGAGCTCTTGAGTGCTGCCTCCTATTTTGAATTGCCCCTTCTTGGGGATGCTTCAGTAAGTGGAAATGAGCAGCCGTCACGGAATGATAGTGGTGGGATATTTTATGTTGAGAATGTAGCGAGTATGGCAGAAAATGTCAATAGAAAAGTGGCCTGGGAGTCAGCTCAGTGCCAGGGGTTTGCATTCCAATACTGCCTGTGAAGAGAGACAGTCCTTAGCTTCTCCTCTGCGGAAAGGGAAACAAGGGCAGCACGACAGGATAGACTTTCAACCCTCCCTTCTTGCTGGGGTGACCAAGTTTGCCCTCAAAGATCCTGGTGTGCACCTTTGCAGTTTAATCATTAAAGAACCCCCTTTTTGTTTCCCATGCTTCTTGGTTGGGTAAGGAATTATACGCTCATCTTACTTGCAACTCTCAAAGACTTAAGATTCTGTCTAGTTTGCTGGCCAGGAGATCTTCCAGCAGGTTACACAATGAACTTCCTTTATCTGAGATGAGAGATTATTTGCAGAGGCAGGTGGCCAGGCTCACCGGGAAGAAAAGCAAATAGCTCTCCCTGGAAACCCAACTGGAGAAAACTTCCCTGTCAATCTAAAGGTTCATTTGCTTGATCCCGAAACTTTAAGTCTCCTCACCACTGGTAACCCCAACATTGAGGCTGCCTCTGAATGTTTCTTAGGAAAAGACTGCTTCCCAGCTCTTGTGTTCAGGATGCCGGAAGGACAGGGAAATCAGGAGCTCTGGGCATCTTCTTGCTTACTAAATAGCCTTGCCAAAGCGGGGGCCACTTTAGCCATGGAGGAGAGTTGTGTTCAAAATCTGCTTCTTGCCATTTCCTCCACTGCCACCCCACCTGTACCACTGCCATCCCTAGGGCGGGGGTCTCCCAACCACCCATCTCCAGTCAGGGCCATTCTGGGCCCTGTCACACAATTTCTCAACTCAGAGCCATTTTTCAGAATGTAAACCTAATTATACCAGCCCTCTGATTAAATTCATTCAATGGCTTCCCACTGCTCTTGAGATAGAGGTTAGAAACCAAATCCTTCAATGCCCTTCCTCTCTGGTAACCTTTCATTGGGCCTCTCTTCCTCTCCTGCTGAGAGCCTTCTCGAAATTCATAGAGCATACCCACTATTCCTCCTGCACAGAGACTTCCCCAGGGCACCCTTCCCTTCCTCTGTCCTTCTTTTGCTCTTCATCCAGCCAACCCCTGGTCTTGCTTGGATCAATCCTAACTTGCTGGATGGGCAAGCTTTCCCTGACCTCCCTGAATAAATCTTTCATTATAGGTTCACTTGGCACCTTATGTTTCTCATTTTTAGCACTTACTACAGCTGTGGTTTTATGATGATTCTGTGTCATTCTTTCACTTCTATTCCTCTCCCCCACTCAAGTCCAGAGTTTCTGAGGACAGGGATTAAATTTGTTCCCCACCAACTCACTGTTGTATCTTTAGTACCTAGCACATAATAGGTGTTTAAAAAATACCTGTTGGATGAAGGAAAGAATGAGATAACAAAGATTCAGAAGAAAATTGGACTTCATCATCCTCGCTATTTCACAACTCTGGAGAAGGCATTCTATTACCTACTAAATTGAGATGTAAACAGGCTAGATTTTAGCTGAGGGTGATGTCACTATTACTTCCTTTTCTTTAAAAAGGAGAAGTGTGTGGGTTTTTTTCTTTTTTCTTTTTTTCTAAATTTGTCCAAGTTCCTCTGGGCAGTATACATATACTTCCTTACTCACCAAAACACACTGAGAGGCAAATAAAAATGCCCAAGGGATTCCAAAGGCTTTCTTTTCCATACTTATTGCAAAGACAGATGTTTTTCACTGTTAGAGGCCAGGTTTGAGATATTCAGTTCCATGGTGGAGTATTTAACTGGTGGTCTTTGTCATCATGTATCACGAATGTTGATTTTAATTTTGTTTGCCTTTCACATTTCTGATTTAATCCCCAATCTCCTGTGAAATTGAGAGTCTGAAGTCAGCACTGCCAAGTGCAAACTCATCCTTTAGAAGCCGTCACAATGAAATCAGAGACGTGTAAACTCACACATATTGCAATTTGGCGATCTTAAAAATTTGTCAATATGACCTTTCTTTAGGGATTCTTGCTGAAAGAGAAGTCTGATACTCTCCATTAAAACACTGTTTTCACACAGAGTTGTATATTTGATTCAGTATAATTTTCAGCTAAGATACATATGCAAAAATTGGGCCATTTGCAGATAGAAACAAAAATTAAAAGCTCAACTCAGGACTTAAAAAAAAAAAAGAGAGTAATTTTTAGGCCCTTACCAAGTTGAAAAACAATAAAAACCAAGTCGAACTGAAGTTAAACAGCTTGAGTGTCTCCATATTTCCAGTTTTACGAACTCTGAACACACACACACACGCACACACACAGAACAATTGGACTGAATCAAAATGTAGTTAATTTAAGCCCTGCATTTTCCAGTTGTGATGAGGCAAGAACTTTCTACTCCCCTGAACTTCTTGACATGCAGCTGTTGAGGTTACTCACAACCAAAGCAGTTGACAGGGAGACTCCTCTCCATATAAATCAAGCATTCTGCATTCTCAGCTCTTAGCTCTTGACCAATTTTCCTTCTATTGTGAAGCAGACCGATGAACACTGAGACAATAGTGAATGTGTGAGGGTCACCCCAACCCCCTCAGAGTCATACACAGGTTAGCTCCTCCAGGAAATAGTTTGTGATCCCTCCAACTTAAACTGATCCCTCCTCTCCCAAGGAGAACCCGAGGAGCATTTAGTTTATTTAACCTATTTTTTAATGTTTATCCCATTCTGACATGGAGTGCATTATAATTATTCATTAGTTTCTGGAATCCTACCCCACCAACTGTAAGGTCCTTAGAAGCATAGATTATTCCTTTTTCAACTTTGAACTACATTTGGCACCCAACTGTACTCAATGTATGTTTCTTGTCTTCGATAAAGGGAAAAAAATGAGAGTATCTGTGTTTCTAATCCATCCCCTTGCTTGCAATTCTTCACAGATATTAATAAAACCTGCAATTATACCACAGGTTTAGAGAAAGCATGAATAGTTTCTTTTGGAGAAAACATAGCTTTGTTTTAAATGACAAAAGTAATATATGGTAACTGCAGGTAGAAAAAAATCTGAAATCCAGATAAGCCAAAGGCAGAAAATAAAGATCCTTCACTCTCTCACCCAAAGATAATCACTTGTTAACATTTGGGAGCACGTCCTTGCTGTACTATTCTAAGCTTCACTTTACGGGTGAAGAAACTGAGGATTACAAAGATTAAGTAGTTGGCAAAGGTCACATAGTTAGTGAGGGACGGAGCCCAGGTTTAAACAGAGGCCTTTCACTAGCTCCAGATTCTGCACTCTAGAGTAAGTTAATCAAGGGGTTGATCCTAACCACCTGACCAGCCTGATCACCACAGTATTTTGGGTGACTAAAGGTTGATTAGAGCCACCCTTTACTATCACTACTTCCTCATCTCTTATTCATTAATCAACCGATGGCAGTCACTTCTCCATTGGAAAGTTCTTTAGCTTAGCTCACATCTTGTCTTCAACTTGTACAACCGGTGGGCACGTTCCAGTCAGTGGCTTACCTGCCCTCTTTCTGTATTGCCTTGGATACTACTAGCATGCTCACCTCTCTTCCTTGGCATTCTCTCTTCTTTGACTTCCATGTTGCTTTTGCATTCCTATATTATGGACTGAATAATACCCCCCACCAAATTCATATGTTGAAACCCTAACCTACAATATGACTCTATTTGAAGATAGGAATTTTAAAGAAGTAATGAATGTTAAATGAGCTCCCCAATGTGACTAATATCATCACAAGAAGAGAAAGGGATACCAAGGAAGCAGATGTTACACACAGAGAACAGGCCATGTGAGGACACAGTGGAAGGCAGCCATCTGCAAGCCAAGAAGAGAGGCCTCAGGAGAAACCAAGCCACCAACACCTTGATCTTGAACTTCCAGCCTCCAGAACTGTGAGAAATAAATTTCTGTTGTTTAAGCCACCCAGTCTGTGGTATTTTGTTATGGCAGCACTAGGAGACTAGTACACCCCATTTCCTGCTGGCTTGTCCAGCCGCTCCTTCTCAATATCTCAACAGGTTTATTTTCCTCCACTCACTGGTTAGACGCTAGTCCTTACCAATTCTGCTCTCTGCCCCTCTCATTCTTCCTGGGAGCACATCTATTTCTATGGCTGCGCTGATACATGATGATCTCCAAATCTAATCATCAAGCTCTAATTACTCACCAAGGCTACCATTATTCCAATCGTCTACTCGACTCTTCATGGGTGTTTCACTGGCATTGCACACACTCATTATTCTAAAATCGGACTCCAAAATGGATGTCCCCTTGGTAC